ACATCGCGCACGATCAAAGTCCGATCGCACGTGTCGAAAACCTCGTACTTGAATAGTTTCGTTTGGAACGTAAAAACTCATATTTCGTCATATCCCAACACTGTCGCATATCACTATGTTCGCTCCAGATGCGCGATTGATATCCTACAAATTGAATGGATCATTTCCGCTGAGAACTTGGCCGACGTTTTAACCAAGATTCAAGCTGGAACCGTTCATGACCGTCTTATGGAAAACATCATGTGGAAAGCAAAGCAAAATGGAAGACTTGCTCTTCTGATTTAAATTTTTGGACACGTCTTCATCCGTCGCCGGATATTGTCAGTCTTGGACAGTATTGGATGATACGTCCTCCCAAGAGGGGGTACGGTTGATATTAGCCCAATTCGGAGTACAAGGTTCTCGGATACATCAGTATCACCTTGAGGGGACCGTTAATTGGACCAGAGAGTGTCCGTCATTTGTACATTTAGATAGTTTAACCTAGAGATTCGCACACATCTTGTAAAATCCCCATGTTTGTCATCGTACTTGTTTTTGTCCCGAATCTCTCGTACCTCGCTACTCAATTTAACGTTTTTTTAGCTCGACCAATCACAGCTGCCCAAAAACAAACAAAAAGAAGTGGGTTGGGTTCATTGACAACCCCTAATCAGTATCCCCGATTGACAAGATGGAACCGGACAACGTAAAGGCCATTTATATTTTACGACCCTGTTTTCGTAGGTAGGTACGCGAGAGAAAGGGGTATGCTACGCGCCGGGACGTCCTCTGGTAGGAAGTGACCCATACAATCATCTTGTCAATATAAAGTACTTCCATGGTTACTATTTCTGAATGGATCTGTCGATAGTAATACATTACAAAATTTCAAACACCACAAAGTTGTAAAAGTGAAAAGATCTGAGGGAACTCTTGCTTTCCGGCGGCAGTAATGGGTGCATTGCCTGCACGGACTGTCATGATCGGGTGTCCAATTCCGCCCTCTTTGGCTGCTTTCAATTCTGCCTCAGAGTCGCTACAAAAAACAATCTCTGAAGGTGAAATACCCAGATGCGCAGCAATACTTCCATAGCTTCTTGCTTTCTTTTTGTTACCACTAGTTGTGATGTCAAAGTGCGTCGCGAAGTGACTCGTCAAATCTCCAAAACAAGAGTGTCCAAACAGAAGTTCTTGGGCCTGTACAGATCCGGATGAGTAAATATGGACCTTTACTCCATGCCTAAATAATATTCCGAAATAATAGAGTTGTGAGATTCATAAAACTACACACGCACTACGCTCAATCAGCAAAGTGAAACATACGATTGGAACCACTTGAGGGCAGGAGGCACGTCTGAGTAAACATGACCCTTAAGCTGCCCATTCTCATACCCTGCTTTCCACATCTTGCCCTGCATGGTCTTGAGCCCAGCCGCCTTAATGTCAAGACGCACCATCGTTTTTACAATCGAACTAATCGAGGACACATCATCGATCTGAGCAAGCTGAGCTGGCGCAAGGTCGATTTTCAACGACTCAAGTAATTCCTCTTGCTCTGATTGGGTCAAAGACTCGACGTAAGTGCTCACGTTCTTTGAAACGAAAGGGAACAACGTCTCCAAGACGAAACTGATAGAGGTAGTGCAACCTTCGATGTCCAGTAGCAAGTGTTTTCCGTCTCTCGGAAGAATGGGTGTGGGGTTGGATCTCAAATCGTTTGAGTTGTCATCCTTATCAGCGCCGTTAAATTCTGTCTTCTGGCGTTTTGGTATGCGCTCTGTCTCATCACCTACTCGGTATGTTCCTTGTGACGGAATATCCCAAGGATTAACACCCATTTTCTTCATTTCCACTGCTGATTGAAATAGGTAATCGAACGACTCATACTGCGTCTTGGCTTGTTCCCAAGAATCTCCCCACGCAAAAACCCCGTGACGTCTAAAAGTGGTTAGTGAAAGTGGTTAGATAACAAAAGGATGAGGATGCCCTCATCCTCCTGAAATTGGAACTAAATTTACCTGACCAAGACAGCATTTGCCTTCGGAAAGTTTGTCAAGACTTCTTCAAACTGGTCAGCAAGCATATCTGCGAACCAATACGGGAGCATGATAAACCAAAGAGGAGCAAATGTCAGTTTCTTTGTTTGCAGTACAATCACAATGACTCATGTGCATAGATGTACCTTCACTCGGGCGATTATCAATGATGGGAATTTCCAGGACCTATAACTCAACAGGTTAAGGATCGCAGAAAGTAGACGAGAAGATCAAATTAAGTGCGACTTACATCGTCATAGGCATGATGACCAACTCCCTTCACCATCTCAAGATGTGTAATGCGCAAACTCTTGCTAGATTCGGTAGGATCAAGAAGAGTGGCAAGTTGCGCATTGATTGAATGGGTGTGAATAATACTTTTTACGGAGGGGCGATGTTTGAAGATCAAGTACCAAAGCGGAGTACATGCTGACTGTTTCAAAGTCGAAATTCTGCGATGATCTGATTGATGAGTTTCGTACCAATAGTTTGCTGGAGAAAATTAAATCATGTACTGACCTGGGTGGAACGACAACATTTCGATCCATGTCTAGTTCAAAGACGTCGTCTCCAACCATGTCTTCCTTCTGGATTCCTGACGGAGCAACAAACACTCTCCACGGACGATTTTCTTGTGGTCCACCAACACGTATGCAAGCTCCTCCACTGGTACCTGTTGCCCAACCATTCTTGTAAAAGTGCTCACACAGTTGAGCAACTAAACTACGTACTGCCCTAGCTTCGCCATCAGCGTCTTCAACAATTGCACTACCTTTGCTGGACGAAGAAACACGATGGCTGAACTCGTTTGATTTCTTTCCATCTGCCCCTTCACCAATTCTTGACCAACCATGAGCCAACTGAACCCATCGCCGTTGACTGCTGTAGAGTTGAACCTTACCGTCGCGGGTGTGAGGAAATAACTGAGGTTTCAGGTCATCTTTGGACCAGCCCAAGCAATGCTTGGAATCATCGCCACTCATTTTCAATGATGAAAGTGATATTGGTGGTACAGTAGGACTATGGAAAGATTGGGGAACAATGAAAAAGATGATCGACGATGATAAATTCATTCATTCAGGACAGGCAGCAGCGCGCGATGACCGCGCATCAACTCAAAAAACTCGGATCACTGCAGGGGTTGGCTAGCGAAGGACGGACTGATCGGAACGCCCAAGTACGTATGCAAAGAAGGTACAGTAGCAGGACAGTGAAAAGCTACGTAAAAAAGAGGTTGTGAAAGAAGTTGGTGAATGAGCTGCAGCTCAGTTGCAGCTCATTCCTTTTGAAAAGACTGCTCTGTATTTGACAGAGTGAATTTGAAGTCTAGGAATAGATAGTTATTAAGATTAGGAAAGCACACGGCTCTTCTACCTGTAACACCCATCATCATGACCATTACGGACTTCACCGTGCGCAAAAAGAGCTACCGCTATCTCACCACCCAGGCGAGCTACCCAAACCATGATTCCAAGGCGGTCCTCGATGTTGGTGGGACCTTCAGTTGCAAGAAATAAACAGCCTGGTCGAAAAGGGCGTTGAAGGAGGTGCCCCTGCCTGGTACTCGGGATGGCCCAAGGAACAGGTGAACAACTTTAATTTTTGGCACGGTCCAATGATTAGATACACAACGGTTGGCAAAAAATAAGAACAGCATTTCGATAAATTGTACGTGCTGGACCATGACGTTCTGGAGAACGGGAGCGACCCATTGGCATTCTCTTGGCCGGCAAAGGCCTTCTCGAAAACTGATCCGGTTAAGGTTCCAAAGTTGGAGGCGTGGTTGATAAACGAGGAGCTCGAACAGGATCACTCCAGGTTGTTTGTGATGGAGGATATCACTGACGAAGATCCTGAGACGGCTTACGACCTACTGGTAACACGCAAGCAAATGCCCATTCCCAAGGAGTTCTTGGATATCACTTGGGACGGATCGTCGGCACGCGAAGTCTTGCGATTGGTGATTGACAGAATCAAGATTCTCGCCAACAGCGAGGAGCCCGAAAAAATTTGGAAGTGCAGGAGAAGTTCCGGCACTTTGTGGACCATTGGCGCGTGGCAAACACGGTCATCGGGAGAGATCAGCTTTCAAAGAACGTCCGAGAACCTGCGGTTCTCACTGCGACATCTGCCCGACGTTGGGTTTCCGGAGTAATCAATTCGGATTTCGCCGGATTGGACCGGAACCTTCGCCCTGTCATCCGTCGAACCCGCCTTGTAGACGTCCTCCGACTCCACCTGGCGGACAAGGAGGAATGGGTCCTCGTCATCTCCGAAGCCCGCCGCAAAATCAGACGATCTCTTGCAGGCAGGCGACGATTGATGTGGGAACTGAC